AATTGACACTCCCTAGTACGCTTTATCCGTTGAAGAATTCGGCTCTTCTCGACTCAGGATCAACGGTCCATATCTTCAACAATGTCGATCGGTTGAATCACTACCGAAAAGGAGAGCTTGAAGACTTCGTTCTAGCTGGAAAGCAAAGGGTACCGATTCAAGGATAACGTCCGTCACCCACTTTTGGCCACCCCAAAAATGCCTCACCGCCAAGATGACCACCAACTTCGATCTTCCACAACTTCGCCAATGTTACTTCAGTCGCCGTCATCTTTCGTCTATATCTTCTTTTGATCAAGATGGCTCAATACACTGAAGATGATATTAACCAGGCTCTTGAAGCTATCACACAGAGTACCAGCGTAAAGAAAGCTGCATTTGGATGGGGTATACCACGATCAACGCTGAAAAATCGTATGAAGGGTCATCATGCAAGAGACATAGTCTTTTCGGATCTGCAAAGGCTATTTTCAAGCCAGGAAAGCAACTTGGCTGAATGGGTTCGAATCCAGGCTGCCCTAGGCCTGCCTTCAACTCATCAACAACTCAAGGACTTTGCTGAACGCATCCTACAGGTCCATAGAGACTCCCAGCCTCTTGGAAAGAACTGGTTGCGGTATTTTATTAAGAGAAACCCATTTGTAAGGGTCCAAAGAAGCAGAGAAATCGATTCCCAGTGCATCAATGGAGCCTCAACTAATGTAACCAGGCAATGGTTCAAACACCCCGCCATACCTGAGATCATGGCCATCAAGGCCTCCAATCAATACAATATGGATGAGAATGGTATCCTGGAAGACATAGGGTCAAACGGGCTTGTTCTTGGATCATTAGAAACTCGTTCTATCCGCAAGAAACAGCCTGGATCGCGTGATTGGACATCTCTGATCAAGTGTATCTCTGCAACTGGCAAGGCACTGCCTCCACTTGTTATATACAAGGGCAAGTATGTCCAGCAGCAGTGGTTCCCTCCAGATCTGACTCCATATGCATCCTGGCAGTTCGAAGCAACAGAAGATGGGTGGACTTCAGACTCTACAGCTGTCAAGGGGTTGACAGAGGTCTTCATCCCTTCAACCCAGTCAGGGGACCCCTCAGAGGTCAGATTATTAATCTTGGATGGTCATGGAAGCCATGATCCTACTGCTTTTATGTATACATGCTTCGGAAACAAAATACACTTGCTGTTCTTGCCAGCGCACACCTCACACGTCCTTCAGCCACTTGATCGGTCGGTTTTTGGGCCCCTCAAGGCAGCATACAAGAAGGAGCTTGGATTACTGGCTGAATGGGATGCTGGCACAGTTGTAGGCAAGAGGAACTTGGTTATCTGCTACAGCAAGGCACGCAAGGCATTCAAGGCACACAAGGCAGCCCTGACAAGCAAGAATATCATCAGTGGCTGGAAATGGACTCGTTTGTGGCCTGTCAGTATGGCCAGACCCCCCCTGAGCCATCTGTTGCTTTAGGACACTTCAACCCCTGCTAAACAGACTGATCAGGCCTGCAACGGGCTCTCTGATGGCAAGGCAAGCGAAAAATGGGCATCAGATACATCAGCAGTCCCTTGGTCAACCCCATATGGGAGGGATGAGCTTCAGGATCAGTTCAGCCTATTCAGTAAGCTGGATAACGATGAGCATACGCAGCGCCTGCTTTTTCGGAAGGCTCATAAGGGCTTTGATGAGAAGGCATACCAATCGAATCGGCAGGACCCAGCGAAAGATTGAGGTATTACAGGGAGAAGTTGATGCCAGCAGGGCCAGGAAGGTCAAAATGAGCCTAAATTCGAAGTTTGCCGATATTGAGGTTATCAGGAGGGCTCAAATCGAGGCGGGCGAACTTGAAAGTAGCACAGATGAGACCAGCGAGTCTTCGAACCCCAGTAATAGCAAAACTTTCATCGTCGTGGCATCATAATACATATAGAAAGTGGTTGAAGTTGATATGTATTAATGTGAGGGCATCAAAAATGGGGTGGCCAAAAGTGGGTGACGGACGTTAGTCTGTGATCTGTGATCTATACCCGACTAACCGTCATTCTCCGCGATACCCATCACTGCGAGTGCTCTAAGAAGAGCACCGCTGTAGTCTCCGCCTTTCGGCTGGCGGTCGGTCCAGCATGCTGATGACCATGTCAAGCGCTGCACGTTCCAGCTTGTCCGGCGTTGGTGCCCCCCGTCCCCGTGGTAGCTACTTCCGCCATCGGCTCGACCAAGTCCCACGCCTCTCCCTGTGACGACGTCGGTCTATACGGTGGCCGCGTGCCAAGAGACATATTTCTTTCGAACCTGGCAGTATGTTAGGTAGGGACTCTCACGAAGTTCGCTCGAAAGCGTGTCCGTATTCGAGGACGGCACTGCGACTAAGGATGATACATGGGTTGCTTCTCGACGGTTGACCAACTCACCCTCCAACCCCCGACGTCGTTTCTAATCCTGTACTTGACCAGTCTTCAGATACACTACTAACACTACATCACGCTCTATCCCTGCTTCCTGCGTCGCTTGCGCTTCGGCTCAAGATCCAGTCGGTACCGTCTGCTCCATTTCCGCTTTCTAATCCGGGGTAGTTCCGGATCTGCGAACGTGTACATCATTGGTTGGCTGAAGAACTCTTCATGCCACGCGATTCGTCGGTAGTCCACCCTCCCCCGTAAACTACCCTTAAGCTCTACAGTCTTCTCACCTTTCAAGGTCTTCCGGCGTGTATAGAAGGCGAGTCTGTTTCTCCGATCGATGCCTGCGGTGACGATGCATGCCTGACAGTTATGGAGATGGTCTTTGTCGTATTGACCGTTCAGAGACAAAGCTTCCTCGTCGTCGGGCTGCAGGGTTCCCATGTTCCATCCCGCAATGATGCTTCGATCGTCTAGTATCGCGTTTCGACTCGGCATCTCTGATGTGTGGCGTGTTGTGGGGTTCCAATGATGTTTAACGTTTGTGGATGGGACTGCTCTCGAGTTATCGATACGTCCGGCCTTGATATAGCTAGGAAGACCTGATGAACACCCAGAGTGGTTCGGGAAGTGTCGCCCGAGTCTCGTCATCAGTGTGTGTGAGAACAATCACTTTGTTTCCTTTGTTAGTTACTTTTGGATAACAGGCTCTTTGGCTGCCATTGCACTTCTTTGTGCCCAATCAATTCACTTGTTCGGATGGCGACGCGAGCTGCATCGTCCGTAGACGGCTGAGCCGGAGCTCCGGCAGCATGCGAGAGAAGCTCACGAAGGTGAACTGTCACGCCGTGAGGCCAGCTATAGCCAGAGACGTAACTCTAGCCAAAGACCTGACCGACGTCTAGGCGGCGAAAAGAGCTGTTTTGGGTAGGGGAGAGTGAAGTCCAGTTCCTCGTGCCGAGGTCTGCCTAAGTTGTCAGGCCGTGAATGAGGGGTTTTCGCCCCTTCTCGATAATTCCATTGGCTTTTGAACTGTATGCTGAAACGATGGGGCGTTGTCGTCATCCTCTACAGATTATGTTGATCCTTTTGACGGAGCTCTTGTTTTCGGGGCCTCCGTCGACTGTGACTTAGGAATGTAGTGTTTTTTTTTTCTCGACCCTGCGAGGATTCAGAGGTTTCAGTCTCCCTTCCACGGAAACGGGCCAGCTCCGTATGGATTTGACTGGGTGACTGGAAGCCCAGGGGCTGTGAAATCGAGACGATCTTCTTCTGTCATGCCGTCTAGTTAAGAAGGGTCATAGGGCCGGAGATGGATGGGGTTTGTTTTTCAGGTCCTTCCTCGCCGACGGCGGGAACTTAGAAAGCGGAAACCTGACCAGACGACTCGTCGTCCGATGCTAGATTTGTTTCTTCCACAAATCCTCAGGACGCTTTGATCGAATCCAAGTCGTCGTCTCGATCTCGGGTAACACCCACAAGTGTAGACCAGGGTCACCCCATATTCTACTACTCAAGGATCTCAGTGGCTTGGATTTTCGTAGCCTTGTAGCTGTCTTGATTCTTGAGGTGAGTAACAAGGGTTTCTCGGTCAGGGCTTGGGTCGTTATCACGGCTGCTATCATCAGGGCAGCATGTGACGATCTAGATGAACAGATAGTAGGTCAATAAGGGGGGGGTCGGCTAAACTCTTACGGAACCCTGCTTACTCCAACAGCGGAAGAAATTGGAGGTGTACGGTTAGGCACAAGGTATCTGCAATAAATCCAGTCCCCATCATACGCATGTCACTGCCTTTGAATCATTTCAGTCCGGCCCATTGGAATAGTGCGTTTATTATCAAACCGTATACTTGTGGAAAAGTACCGTGAACATCCACCCAGAATGCCTCATACTTATTGCGAAATGACTCCAACCCTCCCCCTAATCCCCCACCTCAAGCCCTAAGATAACAGGCATCACTTCGGATTTAAGACATGGTGGTACCATGCCAGACGGGCTCTCTGACACACCGGAACTGTTAGCTACCCCGACTCACGTCCAAAAAAAGGCAGGGAGTGCGACATACCCCTCGGTTCCAAGGTTGATGTAGATGCTGAGATGCACGGTCATAGTGGGACCCACCGCGTGATACGGCGCCGAAAGGTGCATTTGGGAGCAGTGGGAGACTAGAAGTCTCCCATCCCCGATGCCGAGGGGAAGTGGTGTGTGGTTGCGGGTGCCGTGGTGATTGAATTGTCGAGACGTTTGAGACGGACGAGGCGCCTAGCACCAGCCGCGGAATTGTGAACATACGCTAGTCCCACTCGCTCCGACTGACCACGAGTTGCCTGCTTCTAAGAAGAAACCAGGTGGCCAGTCGGACGACAAGCCGCAAGACCGACAGCGTGATTGAATCGCAGCTTCCTGTTGGTGTGGACGTCGGTCTGTTCGTCCACAGTAATGATGATTCGATGCTCGACGTGGCCGCCAGTAGCACCAGGGTGGTTGAAGGCGATGGTCTTAGGCAGGTGGTTGGTCTCCCTCGCGACCACGAGAACTGGAGATGTGAGTTAGTCTGGAAGGCCCCGCGAGTCGAGGGACTGGTCAGATGTCTCAGGAAGGTAGACACTTACTGCCACCCTGATTAACAGCAGGCATGTTGATGTCCGGGCCGAGGCCAAGGGACTGGTCGGCGTGCGGAATGACATTCGCAGTGATGGTAGACATTTTGATAGCTTCCTGGTAGTTGTCGGCCCTGTTGGGGGGAGGGGGGGAGAAAGGAACTCCTTAATTGTTGTTGATTTTCTGTATTTGTGAAGGTGGTAGCTATGGTGATGTTAAGGTGAAGAGTTGGGGTGGGTATCTGAGGAAAGGAGATTTTCTTTCAACAAGATCGCCCAGTGATTGAGGAAGGTACTGTTCGATAGAGGTAGGAAGGTGCGGGTAGACAGCGCAATCGGTGAACGTCTGGCGGTGACATTCCCGATTTACCTGATGTCATGCGTGGGGTAGGATTGTAACTGACACTGAAAGTTTCCGATGGCTGTTGCATGACGATGAACTTCTTATTTTGAGCGGAAGCGGAGGCTGACTCGGATGCCTGGGATCAGACATGTAGGCCGGACGGGGGAGAGGGGCGAGGTGACTACCTTACGTTACGAAATTCGCAGGCCGCACGACACGGTGTTGTACCGGCGGCACTCTGCGCCCAAGGACGCCGTCGCTTCGCCTGGGTGGCCTCGAGGTTGTGCGCCACGCGCACGCCGGGCCTGCCCGGCGGTTTCACAACATGGGTTCAAGTTGGTCACGGAGAAGGATGCGATGCTTGGTAGAGAGCCATTCTGTTCTGTATCTAAGCAAAGGGACAAGTGTCTCATTCCCAGAGCGTGTATGAGCGAATCTGCCTTCTGGTCCGGTCACGCCTCTATCGCCGCCCGAAGCCCCTCCGCTACATAAGTAAGGTTGGCGACGAGTCCTCCTCGTTCCTCCCTTAAAGCCAAGTTCAGTTCCTCTAAAGGTTGTCCTGGGGTTTTCAACTGATAGCTGACCGTCTCGAGGGGCTGGCCTCGCCGATGGATGCGGCCGACGGACTGATCGAACTCGTTCTTGTTGGGATGAACCTCGAGATGAATCACCATCACCGCGCACTTCAGATTGTCGAATCCCGTCCCAAGGAGATTGTAGGACCCCACCAGGACCTTGGATTTCTTCTTCTCAGTCCCGTCTTTTTCCCAGAACGTGTTGAACCAAACCATCGCCCCTTCTCTATCGTCCTGACTCATTCCTGCGAAGATCATCGTCGACTCGAACTTGTCCGCTGGGAGATTCGTCTCGTTATAGAGCTGGGCTTTGTGCACCGCACCTGGATCGCTGAGGAGGACCATCGCGTTCTTGGGACCCTTGGCTCCGGCCCCGATGTCGCTGTCGGTGGGGTACTCTCGGGCGTCTTCGTAGAGCTGCATGAGAATGCTTTCGTATTCTATCCATTTACCCCACCTCACTAGAATGATGTCCAGGTAAGGGGTGAGGTTTGGGATATGGATGTGGGCGTACTGGCGCGGCATGGGGCCTTTCGCCCGCCTCAGGTGGCCGTCGATGTTCTGGGCGAGCAGCTCGACTTCTTTACCCTCCTGGTTCGCGCGCTCCTGGGCGTCGAGCACCCCAGGGAACAGGAGCGCTCTGCGGAGGAGGCGAAGTGACCAGAATTCCTTGACGACGAGGCCTGTCCGGGCAACGGGCGGTCTGCCGTCCCGGATGCTGCTGTCGTATGCTCGCTTGCGCTTGTCGAGCTGCGCCAGCACCTCCTTGGCGACCTCTCGGGTGAGCGCCGCAATGCGGTCCCTGTACTGGGGGGGGAGGTCGCATTCGACGTCTAGGCGGCGGCAATCCGGCTTTGAAACGATGACGTAGCCCATGAATTCGGACGAGGCCAGGCGACGCAAGAACCCCCTCAGTTCGTGATGGTGGCTGGCTTTGATGGGGGAGCTAGGGTGATCCACCCAGTACTTGTTTATGGTCTTCAGGGTGTCGGACAGCGTCTTTATCTCCAGAGACGTCCTGAGTCCGCGGGTGAGGGTGATGGCCAAGGTCATGTCGGCGAGGTTCGAGTGGACCAGGCTTCCACTGACGAGGATCATGGCCGGGGGGATGACTTGCTCGTTGATTATGCCGCGGAGGCACTTGGCCAGCGAGGAGTTGACATCCTTGACTTCCTGAGCCTCGTCCCAGACTACTAGTCCGAAGTGCGGCGCCGATCTAAGCCTGACAATGGCCACCTCTGGCCCTCTTGCTGTCTGCTGCCCGCGCGTCGCTTGCTCCTCCAGCTCGATGGTGATGTCCGCATACCACGCCGAAGCCCAGTTGCCGTCGGTCCTGCTAAGGGTTGACCGCGAAACGATGAACATGATGGACGGTGCCTCGACCGGGTTCTTCGCGGCCAGCCGGTACTTGACTTTGGAACATGCCAGCATGCGTTTCCCCAAGACAGTGTTGCTAGCGTACGTGCGGCCTGGGTGGATTCTCGAGTCACCCCTCCCTCGGGGGACCTGGAGCTCTTCGTTATTGTCGTCCACGACGGCCTCAGCGCGGGCGACCTTCATCTGATCCTCTTGGCGACTGTCCCAGCTGACGATGCGCATAAACGGGACCTCGAAGCGACGCGTGGTGGGGCCGTGGACTGTAAATCTCAGATGCTCTTTGAAGTACCCCTGTGCATCGCGGTACGCCTGGGGGACCATGCTCTTGCTGGCGACCACAAGGTTGGCGCCGGGCGGGAACTTCTCCGCGAGCTTGGCGCCGAGCGAACCCCTCTCGCGCAGGCAGCGAATCCTCCATCCGTGAGGCCCAGCGCCGATGACGCACCTTTCCGTGCAGCCCGCATGCATCTCGGGATGCGTTTCGAGGTGGTCCTTGATGATGCGGACGAGTCTTATGACGGCGATAACGGCTTGATATATTCTGGTCTTTCCGGTGCCGATCTCGTGGGCGATGATGGCTCCAATGTCGCCCGTGTCGCTGTTGGTCACGATGAGCAAGATCTTGAACACGTCCTGCAGCTGCATCGGGCTGAGGCCGCGCTTGGTGCCAGGAAGAAAACAGAGGTGTTCTTTCCGGTCCGAGCAGTGCGCCGGGTCATGGCCGAAGAAGGCGCAGGCCCTTTCCTAAAGGACCGCATCGCCGCCCAGGCCAGCCAGGGCGTCGAGGCGTTGTCGTGACGCCGTCACCTTGTCCGCCGGTTCGGATGTGTCCTCGCTCTCGTTGTCGGAGTCTAGCAGCGAGACGGCGCCATCCCCAACCGTCCCCTCGGCCTCGCTGCCGGAACCGCTTCGCGGCTCGGGGCTCGGCGAATCGTCGTGAACTTCGATCGGTTGGCTCTGCCCGCCAGGCGTTTCCTGCGCCGCTCTTTCTCCAACGTCGCGGGGCGGGGGGCTGGACGGGTGCTCGGCGTCACCAACGGCCGCAGCTGCTGCACTGTCCTGCTGTATGCCCTCCTCTTCGCCTCCGTTCCGTGGCGGCGGGTCCAAGACTTGCTGGAATGGATCGTACAGGTCGCGCTCGCCGTCCCCGTCCCGGAGCACCCATGTTACGGCGATTTCTGGGGCGTGCGCCGTGTTCTGGTCATCCCATCCGGCGATGTCGATCATCTTCGCGATCGCCTGGTGGAATTCTCCCTCGTGGGACAGCCTTCCTGCCCCCATCACCCGGTCCTCTGAATGGAGCGTGGCCTGCAGGATGGTCTTGCTGTCCTCGTAGCCGCCGAAGGCCTCGACGAGCTTCCGTAACCTCTGCCAATCGAACTCGGAGCTCATCAGCCTTGTTTCGGGATACCGCCGGAAGTCCACCGCGGCCGGCATGAGCTGGCTCATCATCCCTTCGTACGGCTTAATCCTCTTCTTGTCCTCTTCGATGTTGTCGACGGGCCGACGTTCATCACGAATAGCAAGTCGGGCGTACGGCAGCGCTTCTCGACTACGCCACCGGCCGCATTGGGCCTGCGAGGTCGTGCTGTAGGACTCGGAAGGGGGGTCGAGGCTCCCGCCGAAGGTACGCCGGATGTCGATGGTGCTGGCTGAGACCACAGACCGTGCCCTCTTCGGTGCCCGGTCTTCGGCTTCGTCGTCGTTCAGGACTCGGCCTCTTCTTAGTGGCGCTGCTGGGATGGTGTGTCAGTGTGGGATCCTTCTGTTTCGCATGCGGCGCTTGCAGGCGGCGCATGCCGTCTTGGGTGTCGAGAGTCTTGGATTTGATGCTCACCTCTGGCTAGTCGAACACGGTTGTCACGAGCACTGGCGGTCGGGGGAGCGTCCTCGCCGTCGCTGTCTATCGCATCGTCGTGGGTGCCCTCGAGCCATTCTCGTGGGTACCAAGATTGCCGACCTGGGCGCTGTTCGTCGGCAGGTCGAGCCACGGTCTCAACGATGGCCCTAACGGGCTGGTGAACTGCGCTCTCGACGGACCGCTCTGTCTGAGACGGTTCGGGGACGACGGAAGGCGCGGGCGGCCGATCCATCGCAGGATATGGTTGGTTTTGTCGGGGGGGGGGGCTTGGAGGAGGGATGAGGAGCGACGGGCGGTCAAGTTTGACGTCAGAAGAGGCGGGGCAACGATGTAACACTGACGTACCTATTTTGGGTTGGCCGCGTGGGGATTGCGTTGGAAGGTGCCTTCTAGGAAGTCGCTCCTGCCAGGTGCGATGTCGACAAGAAATGAGCCCGACCGATCTTGCTAGGTAGGTATTCACTTCACAGTTCCGGGTTGGTGGGGCACGAGCGTGGCCTGCTAGCGAACGCGTCGAATTTTTCTTTCTTTTCGTTTTTTTTCTTTTTTTTTTCTTCTCTGCTGCCGTGAAAGTCAAACCTCTGTGTTGGCAGGGATAACTAGTAACAACTCTGCTGCTGGACGTTCCTCGGAGTCAAGACTGGAGCTGGGAGGTAGAAGTTTCTATGAGTAATGAAGATACGCAGCGTTGTGGTCGTGGGGTGCGAGTGTGTTTGGGGATAAGTTGTGGATGAGATTGCAGGTACATAGTAATACTGTCTTGATTTGTTGGTGTCTTGCAAGAGTGTATCCTGGGTATGTGCCTTAGGCACCTTGATTGGTTGGTGACCTGTTGATGAGGCAGGCCCGGTGCGCTTGTGATCGGAATTCTGTTCCTGCTTCTCCTGATGAGGGAAGAAGCTGGCTCGACGTTGAATGTGGGTGGCGCAGGAAGGAGATGGGAGATGGTACCTTACTTACCTAGGCGGCCAGGTGAAGCATGCGTGGTTACCTAAGGTACCTAAGGCCTTTGCTTGTCATTGCGATGTGAGAATTGACGTCTGTTCTGATGGAGTGTCTTGGGATAATGTATGGACGTCCGCCAAATGGCTGCACTTACTGGAGAAAGGGGGAGGGAAATGAGAATGGACCTAGACTTGGGTGATAGGTTGGGGGGTTGAGCAGGATAAGGACAAGGGCCTTTTTTTTTTTTTTTTTTTTTTTTTTTTTTTTTTTTTCCAGTTTGTGTTCCTTTTCTTCTTTATTTCGGTGAAATGAAAAAAAGCAATTATTCAACGGGAAGGGGGGGGTGGACTGGGAAGGTGTGCATAGAGGATTGCTTTGCGCACTGGATATGCTGTGACCCTGATGACCTAGCGGGCTCCATCTTCCAGCTTTGCTGAATCTGATGATGTCCACCACACCAACTACTACCTTAACAGGTATGGAGATCGACAGTTACCCATCTCGCCCGCCGAAGCTGCTGATTGCTTAGACGGTAGCTGGGCTTGGTGTGGTAAGGAGGAAGATGAGTTATCTTGCCCGTTCACACATGGTGGCTTCACTTTTCTGTCGGGTGCGGGAGTCATGAAGCAAGCAAGCAAGCAAGCAAGCAAGTGGCCTTGCTGATCTCGGGCCATCTGTGATATCTTCTACCAAGCGAGATTCCATAGCCCTACGTTTGAAATACAAAGGGGGATGGGCGCGAAGCGGCTTTTCTGGCATGTAACACCTCGGTGGGGTGTGGCCGCCCTGTTCTGCGCGTAACTAGCCACAACCATTTTCCCAGTCCAACTGCCTTCCGTCTTCTTCTCCTCCCGCACCTCCCAGCCATCAGTCAACCGTCACTCCCTCCCCGGCTGCAATCGATCTGTTCGAAGACGCCTTCTCGATTCCGGGCCCGGTTGTGAGCACTCTGCGACGTCATCCGTCGTGACGGGCGAGCCCACCACGCCTTCACGGCCCTTCCTGGCTTTCAATACAAGCTTGTCCCTCCTGCCTTCGGGGTGGAGGTGGGTGGTCTGAGCCACTGCAATAGTTACGGCAGTAAGGTGAACTGCGCGACGGCGTGGTGGGGTGCGTGCCGTGGATGAGGAGCGGAGCCTGCCTGACGTATGGTGACCTACCTACCTTTTGGAAGGCGAGACCGGGTCGCACTTCAACACGACTTACGTAATGCAGCATGATTACATAAGACGAATCCTCGTCCCAGGCGAACATTGACATTTGGATGGTGAGTTTTCCAGAAGGTATGTAGCTGGAGCTTTTTCTTTGATAAAAAAGCAAAAGGGGTGGGGGGAAGGAAGAAAGAAAGAAAAAGAGGTTGAGTAAATATTTGAAAGCAAAATTATTCCTAGTTACCTATAACTATACCGTATCCCATAACTATGAGGATATAGAGCTGAAAATCTACTGAGTAGGCCTCTTACAATGGAACAGCAGGGCCGGCTTGTTGTGATGGAACGGGATGGTGAGCAGGTGTGAGCAGATTGGGGAAACTACACCCGAGGTTCGCAGGAAGGGGGAGGGAACACGGTAATCACATACATAACTCGAATGTGTCTTATACCTCACCTGACGCAGAGCGTGTCGCCATTCTTGACGTCAGACGTAGCAACTAAAGCTAAGACGTTTATACCGCTGATAGCTAAGACCTTGGGCTTCGAGCTCGACCGGTTGCAAGGGGTTGGTGGGCTGCGCCAGCAAGATCCGGATAAGGGAATGGCGCTTATCAACACGAAAAGCTACGCCGGGCGCTAACCGTACGGCGTCCCCGAGGTCCCGCCAGGGGCGGGACGCGCCATCGGCGAGCGCGAGGCACTCCTTCGGGGCGACGGAACGATCCGGCACGACCTCGCCGGGCACAACGGCCACGACATCTCCCTCCATGATACCGACCTGGTCCTCGTCGGATGGGTGACGGACGGCTTGGAGCCTCGGGGCCTCTGAGACCGAGTTGCCGCCGTACCATATGCGGACGAACGGATGGAGGTTGGCACAGTGCTCTCGGAACGATTCGCAAGGCTGATGGGAGCGGCCCCGGTGGGTGCAGATCGCGCAGCCGTCCGCGGCAAGGAGGTCTCGCAGCCCGCTTCTGTCCATGGACGCCATAAGCTCATTCGCCAGCCCCCATTCGTGTTGGGCGAGGCGCTCGACGCGGGACATCGGACTCGGCAGATATGCCATCGCTCCCGGCGACAGGGCAGCAGCAATAAGCTCAACGTCGAGACCGAGGAGGGCATCCGCGACTTGGCCTTGTACAACCGCGGCGAACAGCCTGCCGAAGGCGCCGATCTGCTTGACCTTGACGGCGTCTTCGCCGTTCTCCGACGCCAATGCAGCCAGGCGAAGCGCTACGTCGTGCGAGTCCGACAGCGTGAGCCCGAGCTTGCCGGGGGGCAGGGCGGGGAGGAAGTCCAGACCGTCGCCGCAGACTATTGTCCAAGATCGTCCCGGTATAGAGGCATCTGCTGATATCGGCCCTCTGCAGACGGAACGCCCTCAACGTGGTGTCCGCCGACGAGGGATCGATAATGCCGAGGACCTCGCAGGTGAGGCTGTGGATATCGCTGCGGCTCCGGTACACGGCGGCGCTGTCAGACCCCGGTTTCTTGAGACGCGTGCTGAGCTGGATGTGCGCAAGCCTCTTCCGGTACCTAGCGAGGGTCTCGTGGCTTTTGGCCTCCTGGATGTTGCGGTAGAGTGTGACGCGGTTGTCGCAAGGCGGGAGGTGGAGAGCGGAGCTCGCAGGCGCCGTGCGCCACGCTCGCAAGAAAGCTTCGCAACGTTCGGGACCGTCGGCGAGGAGGGACTGGACGAACGTCTCGCTCTTGCTTCTGGCCGGCTCGGCGGTGGCGGCGGGTTCGAACTCGTCGGCGACGGTGCTCTTCGGCCGCGCCTTGGTGTCGGTGCGACCGTCAGGCGTCTCATCCGAGCTTTCGGGGGTGTTGTCGCGAGAGCTGAGCGATTCGGCGTCGTCCTCCCCTCCGTCGTCTCCCGCGTCCGCATCCCTGTCACCAAAGGCGCCGCCATCTGCCTCTGACCAGTATCCGCGTGCGGAAGGAGCTGCGGCCGCTCCGCGGCGCGGGCATTTGAGCGGTGACGCCACCGCCGTCGACTCCAGCACCAAGCACGTCCTTTTGCTTGCGCGGCCCGCGGCTTCGCGGGCATGGCCGACCACAGGCGGGTCGTTGGCCGCCTCGAGTCTGGTCCGCTTTCCAGTCACCGTCTTTGCCGGCAAGCTCGTGTCCGCTTGCCCAACCGTGGCGTTATTGCCGCTGTTGCGGCTGTGGACGCTGCCGGGCCTCGCTGGGGTTCCGACGCCAACGTCGTCATCGCCCGAAGACGGCGGCGAGGGGGGGTTCAGCCCGGGGCGGCGACGCCGCAGTGAGGTGCGGTCCAGGCCTTCCGGAGCCGGGTAAGGGTCTTGCCTTCCCGTCCTTGCCGGGGGCGCGAGCCGGCCAGTGTGTCGCTAATACACTCCTCCAGTCTGCCGATGGATGTGGGCCTGACGACGAGCCAGATCTTTGGCCCGCCCCTGTAAACGAAGTCGGTGGTGATGGAGGTCGAGCGTTGCAGGTACATGCCGGGACAGCTGAAAGCCGCCGGGGACAACACGTTCCAAACCCGGATATCATCGGAGGTGGGTTGGCTGCCGGCAAGACCCTCTCCGCCCGTCTCGGTCTTGCCTGACCTTCTGTCGACACCTTCGAGGTATGACGTGGTGATGGATCGGGGCTGGGAAGAGAAGGGCTCCGTCGGAACGGCGTGGGGGGGGAGGTGGTTTGCGGGGCGCGCGACGGTTCCGGGCGCACATGCGAGGTGTAGCGGCCGGAGAGTGTTTCTTCGCGGTCTGCGTCCATAGACCCCGAATCCTGCAGGTCGAGCATGGACACCCCGATAGTACCAGACCTGCGGAAGGCACATCTTCGAACGCGGAAGGGTTGTTCGACATCGTCCAATAACGTCTCGGCTGAGCTGGCCCCGTTTGTATCGAGACGGACCTTCACGAAGCCCATGCTGGCTGAGACAGAGAACCGGAAGATGCTGTCGTAGTTGCGCACGGAACTGAAAACGTGCCAGGGAAGTTCCATCGTCACATCCCCCGCTGGGACGAAGACTGTCACGGGTGGCGGGGCGGCGGCAGTCCATTTGGTCCGTGGCCTGGCGGGCGTAGCCCTCAGGATAGAGGTGGCGGGAATGTCGGGAGGGCCGGGTTTGGCCGCATCGGTCTCATCAAACATAGACAGCATTCTAGAGCTGCGCCGGGGGGGGGGGGGGGGGGGGCGCCTGCAGGTCTCGCCAAGGCATCACCTCCTTATCAGCCTTTCTCTCGTCCCAGTGTCAGTTAGTACATCAGGGTGATGCCTGCTGGCTGCTGCCGCCTTGGAGCTGGGTACGCCGCTAAGTCTGCAAGCATACAGGCGACGCGCGCGTGAGCCAAGATGAGGGCGCGGGCCGGAGTCGTTCCAATTGATGGAGATGCTTGGGCTCGCGAGCTGTTGCCGACCGGGAGGGACTGTGGGGCGTGGTGGAAAAGATGGCAGAATGTATGTACACGGCTGAGCGGGTGGTTGGAAGAAAGGGGGGTTCGCGAAAGCGGATGCAGTTTGCTTTGGGATGGATGGGCTTGCTGCGCTGTCCTGTCCGGATGGCTCGTCAACGCGGAGAGCAGGGCTGTTGGAGGGGGGTAGTACGTTTGTTTGTCCCCCCCAGTCACCTCACGTGACGGGTGAGGTTGGGCTTGCTTTTTGACACGGAGTCTTCTCGACCAATCAAACAGCTGTATGACTGATGGAATATCAGTCCCACCGAGCCCCGAAATTACTTAGAACGAATCCCCCCGGGCCGATCGGGACCTAAGGGCACGCACGTACCATGGCGGACAGGGAGCAGGGCCCGCCAATCGGCCTCAGACACCAACCGCCTCGTCCAGTGGTCCACGCGCCGCAGCGCAGTGTTCTTGGCCGATGTTGCATCGTCCCACCGCCGCAGCATTTAGGAGCAGGGGGCAGTTTGGGGACAAAGCGCTCTCTGGCTGACGGCAGCGGCGGCTGTATGCTTGTTTAGAACAGCGCGGACGTGAGAAAAAGCGCTTTCCACGAGAATGATACGTATCGCTACTGCACGAAAAAGCAATATGCTGCCTGTCTGCTGTGAGGACGCCTTCTTAAAATCCGCTGACCTCCGATGGCTCAGTACGCCCACCATCAGGCTTCTGATGCTTTACCTGGACGGTTTGACGCAAGGGTCTTGAAATGAGTGTTTGTTACCACCCCGGCCATCGCCCTAGGCGGCAGAAGATACTTCAGCTAGAACCTTGACGATCGCGGTTATGTTTGCGGAAAGAGAAGACTGATGATGGCGGAACCGATAGGATATTGAGGTCTCAAGCACCCTCCAAGGCCTACAGCAAATGACCTTCAGGGGCGGGGGCTGGCTACCTTACGACGGCAACGGTTGCGATCAGGGGCGCCAAAGGGGTGTGTTTCCATAGGAGCCGTCACGACGGGTAAAGGCGGTGCGAGTGGTGTCGTACGTGGGCCGCTAAGGCAAGGTAAGGATGCAGAGACTTGGGTGTGGGGCTGCACCTGGGGGCAACAGTGTTCCTATCAGCCTACCCTGCTACGAGAGGTGGTTTTCAATTTTTCGTGGCAAGGGGTCCAGGGCAAGCAACGTAGGTAGGTAGTGCTACTCTTGGGGAGGTGGGCGAGTAGCCTGTTGACTAGGGTCCCTGCCTATGTATGCATCACGGTACGCCACCCCAACTCAACTAATCCTCAATTCATGGTTGCTGCGGGGGAACCGGCTGCTCTGCCGCCTGATGGCTGGTTGGACGAGGAGAAGAGTATCGCCCCACGCGTGCGGGAACTGTGTGGCCAGATGGGCACGGGCGGGCGTTCAACGTGCACCGTCCCACCAGATCGGCGAGGCCGTTTTCTTATGGGGATTTTACAGCCGGGTTCAGTCTGTTCGAGCGTCACTGCCTCCTTACCTGCAGCTGAATGCGACGATATGGATTGCTTCTTTCTGACTTTTACGACACATGAAGAGAGCGAAGAGTAACATATATACGCAGGTGAAATAATGTAGTGAGGTCAAGGAACAGCTGAGAAGGGGGAAATGCCTGCAAGAGACGGCTGTTGCTAAATCCAGTAGTACTGGTCCGTCCGATTCAAGTGCCCAGCTGGTGTGCCTACATGTTATGAACGCTTATATAAGAGGGTAGCGTTTTGAAAACCTAAAGGTAAAGGAGGGTCGATGGTATGACGTTCAACATTTCAACATTCACATTGGTTCATACTAGGAATCAATGTTCACATATACAGAGTGGCCTGCTAGGCCGTCTCCTTACTCTGATTTCTTCTCATATCAAGTTAGATATCTCCAGCGACTTGAGGATAGAAGATCGCAGTGAATGACACCAAACACACACACGCACGCGCGCGCGCGCGCGCGTATATCCGCTGAATGAAACGAGTGAAAGAGAAGCCCCCCGTCCCTAACGCATGTTCTCTGTCATCTATCGCTGGAAAATGAAAACGAGGTGATGCGCAACAGAGTACGCCTCCCGGCGCCAGCAGGGAGTAAAACGCTCAGCGAAATATCAACAGCTGTGGGTCGGCTGGTGGCAGCACAGAGACTGCAAGACTTCCTCCAAGCCCCTCCCCACCTAAGCCGGAACAAGCTCGATCAGCTCTGAGTGATGGGAAGGCACCAGTCTCCCCTGTTACGTGGTAGATCGTGAAGCAGGGATCGTATGCAACCAGCTGCTGTAGCCGTAACGTGGCTGTCCGAAAGTTTCATGGACCTCGTTTCCACCATGTCTCAGCATGTCGGCGTTTACAGGCTTCCGCAGCGAGGCGCTGGTTATAGGTAGGTAGATGGAGAATTATGCCTGCCGAGATATGCCTCTGCATGCCGCATGCTGCTTCGGTCTGCTATGTAGGTGACGCGTGCGACGTTTGGTCGCCGTCCTCCGGGGGAGGAGGGGGAGGGGGCACATTGGCTCTATCTCTGAGGGGATTTTCAGCTTTATTGTCTTGTTCCACGTTTTATCCGGGGGGCCACCTTAGTTTATATGTACTGTCGTCTTCATTTCACATGTGGTTGTACCTACCGACGATGTACCTATAGGTGAGCTCGTCTACCCATTTCACACTTTGGCGGGAACATGTAACAACCTCATAGACCAGTACCATCGCCCGCATTATGCTCATTCATTGCCGTTGAGGCTGAGGACGCTAGAGCATATTGAGTTTTCTCAGACGGCATGTCGACATGGGAATTGGAAATTGACTGTATGTCCAGTCTGAACCTTTCTCATCACCCGCTGGTTTCTTTTTCCCTTCTCCTTGCCTGTAGTAGCGATAGATATCTGATAATCCTAGCCGATGATGCTCGAGTCTGTTTGCTATACCTTGCTTAGACCTACAGAGACACGCGATGGGAAGACGCGCACGAAACGCGTCGCGGTGTGAGTTACCTTCCGGGTATTGCGTATCCAACATGCTTGCGCTGATGGAGGCTTCGCGATAGGTTCAAAGGGGGGATGGGGGGGGGGGGGGAGGTTATCCCTAGGATCACTCCTTTAGAGATTCCCCCTTTAAATCGGTGTCTCCCGCATCCTGCTTCAATCACAGTACCTGTAGAAAAGAGTTTCATTCACTACTACAGTACGTGTTGAGTGCAACTGCAGCAATCCATAGCTTACTCATACCATCTTCGAGCTTTTTCCATCGTTAGATCGACAGGACAGGAATTTTGATCCATCTTCAGCACCTCACTATCTACATAGTAGACGGACTGTAAGTTATGTTTCTTCCACCTGGGGTGTTCTATCTCTAGCACAATCTTAGTCGGTTGTACAGGGTTTTTCTCGCCTGAGCTGGTGTACTAGGCGTCATAGCTTCGGTGTCATCGTCGTATCCCATATCGTCTAGTTTGCTATAGTACTACCATCTGTCGTTGGATTTGTTAGCTGATGTTAGATCCGTGAGCATAGACGTACCGCTCAGACCGAAGGGAACAAGCCTCATTTTCGACTTCTAACGTCCACCACCATATTAGCCATGCCTGCCGATCTCCCTCCCCAGGACCCTCTGGTCATCTGTCCTGCCGAGGCACCGGGCGTCGCCGAGGCGTTCTCCGTGCCGGACGATCTAGGCGGGGCCGCTATAGCAGCGGCGCCAGCACCGCCTGACACCGACGGGGACGGGCCGGGAATCCGCGCTAAGGTGCGCAGGCTGGTAGACGATAATATACGATTCTGGGGTGATCTTCAGGTTGGGAGGGGGCAGTTTTACTGCGTGTCCTGCAACTACGGCATGTTGGCCCTGGAAGACGACGGGAACAGCCCCGTAGATGGTTTTGCTGAGGTGAGTCTCTTTGCTTCTCTCTATCTTGCCCGGTCGAAGGGCTCTGGCGTGTTTCCCGGTCGCATAACAACGGCGCGTGTGTACTCCGTCGATTTCTGCTGGCGCAGGCTATGATGTGCTTTTCACCGCGCTATCGCGAAGCTGACAGAGGACGCCTCAGGTTTTCAAACACCTCAATAACAAACACGGAGGGACATGCTCTCTTGTGCTAGAGGGGGACCGGGCTGCCCTTGGGCGGCACCTCCGCAACCTTGCCGGGGTCGACTTGAGAGGGAGGTTCATGGAGAAGCTCCCGCCGTGGGATAGAAGTGTCGGGCTACCGCGGCCGGATCTGCGTGCTGGGAAGCTCAACAACGAACCTGCGTCGGTGCTCAAGAAATGGATCTGCCTGAGGTGCTCCCCGGGATCAAACCCTTTCACCAATGATATTGGGAAGATCGCCAGCTTCGAGGGCGCTATGAAGAGTCACTTGACTGTCGACCACCAGAAGCAATGGAGGTATGTGACCGACTGGGCGCCTATCGGATGTACACACGCAAAACCACCGCCGTCCTGCGCCTGTCCCGGCCCGCCCGCTGTGTGCAATCTGCATGTGCCGAATCAGCTAACGTTCTTCATGGCAGTGACTCCCGCCAGTGTGGAGACGGGCCGATATGCGGCGAGGACGGGTGCAGCTGCTCAGCGGACTATAAGGTCATATACGTCCAGCCGTTCCTCAAGACTAGTCGACGTGGCAAGGGCGAAGGGAACAAGAAGTCCAAGACGAGTGTGCGCGTGAACGGTCCACTTCAGGTCTCGGAGGGATCCGGCACGCAGCTCCAGCCTCCACTCGTGGGCCCTGGTTCGACAGGTCAGTGTCTCGGGTGTGTGCGTGTGTGTGTGTGTGTGTGTGTGTGTGTGTGTGTGTGTGTGTGTGTGTGTGTGTGTGTGTGTGTGTGTGTGTGTGGACATCATGACCGTCCGCCACCGTGCTGCGTTTGCATCGGCAGTGCTGACAATAACCTCTGTCGAGTAGATCGTCCGGATGAAGAATCGGACTTGCGCCGTCTCGCAGGCGAGCTAGCGCCGAGACCGACGACGACGGTGTTCGCCACCAGCGGACCGGGTGTCGACGACGCGTTCACGTACGCGTCCGCTATGGACCTTGATGGCGGGTTACTCGAGGGCGTTGACGTCGGAAGACTGACCAGCCTTACCAGCTCGGATGTCCAAGAGTGGGAGCCGGAGGTGGTCAAGAGGTTGAGTGACAACTTCCATTTGTGGGAGTCGAGGACGATTGCCTGGACGGTGCTAATGGATAAGGTGAGAGCTGCCCGGGCACTTGAATTGACCTGTCGCCTCCGGAGCCGTGGACGTGTGCGCCGCCCTCACGCCTGGTGTTCCCATCGTTGTCGGTCGTTCGGAGGCGGAGGAGAATGGCTGCTGACATGACGTTATCTCGCAGGACACCAAGCGCGAGATGGAGAGGGTTTGTTGCCGCTACGGAGCCCGCGGGGCGAGGGGCAAGGCGGCCTTCCCGGCCCAGGACAGGACGCTGTTTGCTTACCTCAGGGTTTGGAAGAGAGCCTGCTTGTACCTCGTCCGCCGCTACCTCATCGACAACGACATGTTCGTCGATGGTGGCGTCGGCCACCTGCCACGCATCCTGTGGGACGTTGACGTCCCGCCCCAGGTCACCGAGGCTGTGCGCGGGGTGTCCAGTTTCAACCGTGTGACGGTTGCGGGCGCCCTGCTTGCGATCATCCAGTTTGTGCAGGGCGGTAGGTGCGAGCAGGGAGACTTCGGCAACGCGGCGTCGGAAGACGGGGCGGATGTCGAGATCCTGCGGGAGGCTACTTGGGAGATGCTCTTGTTGCAGCTGAGCCTGGCAATGAGCGAGGGCGTCATCACGTCCTCGAAGTTCGCGTGCCCCCTGGTGAGCGCGGCGGGTGCCCTCTGCGTGGACGCCAGGGGCATCAGGCACCCTACCCTTGCCAGCAAGGACATGTCCGCCCTCATCGCGTGTGCCAAGGCGTCTTTCGTCTCCTGGGGATGTTGGGAGTCGCTGTGGGGGGGCGCCCTACTGGACACGGCCCGCGTCATGGATGTTTGCTGGCCGAGTCACATACGACCTGTATTGTCCTGGTTCACGCAGCGGGATGCGGCTTATGCAATGGAGTCCGGCTTCTTCGTCCCGAGGACGGCGCTTGCTTGTCTGTACGACTTCCGGAACATCGCCATGGAGGCGTGTTACAGCACCCCCGGTCTCACTGTCACTTCCCTCAAGGACAACGGCTACACCGTGACGCACGGGGCCAACATCGAGGTAAGTCTCCGCCGCCTCTAACTATCCTCCCATTCGTCCGTGTGTGCGTTTGTTTGTTCTTCTTTGTCGAGCGATTGTCTCTCGCGTGCGAGGGCTGACAGTCTCAGTTGAACATTCTCGATATACGCAGCGGACTGCATGGCCTGGTGGCCGACCTGCACCGGAGGCTCGTGTCGTTGCTGCTCATCCCGGACGGCGTCGAGGACGCGGACGGGAGCGGGGTTGGGACGCGGTTTTCCACGTGGCAGGACCACATTGACGGGTACTTCCCACACCCGGACATCAGGGACGACTTTGAGAACAGGGACGTGGGTGCCTCGGCGTACACGCAGACGTTCCCGGGCCACGGCGCGGGTGCGCAGCTGTTCGGCCGCCTGGCTGTGGAGCCGCACGCATCCGCCTGGACGGATCGCCGACGGGGCCTTCTTGCCTTGAGGGACGAGGCCGTGGCGAGATACTTCGACGATGCGCACGCCTTCCTCGGAGACATGCTGGTGGCGGTGTTCCTCCTCCTGGGGATGCAGTGCCGTGGTACGGAGTTCCTGACCGTCCGGCACACCAACACCGTCGCCAACGGCCGCCGAAACCTGTTCTGGGATGAGGACTACAGCAGCTGGGTTGTGAACATCAGGTACCACAAGACGGACCATGGGACGGCCGATACTAGGTCCACCTGGCACCTGCTTCCGCCGCCCCTGGCCTACGTCGTGACGTACTACCTCTTCTATGTGCTCCCCTTCGTGCAGTCCCTCCACGAAAGCCGGGCGAGGGACTTGGGCGTCGGGAGCCTCGAGCAGCACAGCGAGTTCCTCTGCATGAAGGGCCCGGAGCAGCAGCAGTCCGGCGCTTTCGCTAAGCGTCTCCGGGCGCTTATGGTACACCTGACCCCCCAGGAGGTCACAGAGGAGCTCAGGGCCGGGAACGAGGCGGCGGCGAGAGAGCTGACGGGGGTTGACGTGGATGACGGTTTGGACGACGGGCGGTCGGCGGACAAGATTGACGTTGAGCCTGCAGGCGACGGGGCGGATGAGGAAGAAGACGGAGAAGAAGAAGAAGAAGAAGGCAACCGTGCCGTGGGCAAGAACAACGCCGCGGCGGCGGCAACGACGGCGGAGGCGGAGCTCTGCAAGCAGCTGGGAAGGCTGTACAAGTCCATGCGCGGACGGCTGGAGAGCAGGGTGGGCGTCGAGTACTGCAACGTCTTGGCAGCGGGACTCGACCTGGACGACGGGGGCTGGACGACGACGACGGCGGCGGGGAAGCAGCTGCACGCCCTGAGGCCGTCTGGGAACTCCCCTGGGGCCTGGTCGCCTAAGATGTTCTACGTCCAGTTCTCCCGCTTCTTCCTCGGACTCGGCGTCAAGATGGGCCTGGCTGACTGGCGCCACATGGCGGAGATCTGGGGGCGTCACATCAGCGTGCTGCTCGACCTCGACAGGGCCACGGTGCCCGCCTTCGAGGGGCACGAGGAGAGCTTCCTGTCCGTCGTGCACCAGATGGCCGGGCACAGCGACAGTACGGCGGCGGCCAAGTACGCCGTGGACTCAACGGGAGGGGTCAGCCTGATGGACGTCAAGACGAGGATGCTGCACTGCAGGGCCAGCGTCCTGCTCCACGAATGGTTCGGCGGCGACGAGATGCTGCGGAGGCCGGCGACGCCTTCGATCTTGAAGCGGTGAGTGCGTGCGCGCGCCAGTGTGGCCTCAGTCGGCGCTGCGGGGCGTGGTCGCGCAGAAGAGGTTTCCGGAAACGTGATTGCTAACGTGGCGTTTTCCTAGGCATCCTGCGCGAGCACTGGACGATGCAGTGCCCTTAGGAGGATGCTTGCAGCACCTAGAGAGACTCCGGATGACGAGGACGACGACACAGATCGCGCGTATGGTCGCGGCGGACAGACACGTGGCGAAGCACCCAGAGCTCGTGCTGCAGGCTCTCCAGGGGTCCGGGCAGGTGGGCTTCAAGCCGGGCCAGGAGGAGGCCTTGAGGTTCGCCCACGCCGGAAGGCCTCTGTCGGTCGTGGTGCTTCCGACAGGCGCCGGGAAGACTGTGATAACGTTCGCGGCCGCGAGGCTGAAGACGTCGGGTGTCACGCTCCTCATCGTGCCGTTCTTGTCGACGATGGAGGATATGTGCAGGCGGGCGGAGGCGGCCGGGATTGTGGCTGTGACGTCAGCGCAGCTGTCCAAGGGCTCTCGCTGCTCGGCCGGAGTGCCCATGTTCACGAGCAGGACACGCCTGATCATCGCGGTGCCCGAGTCGTTCAGGGAAGGCCCCGTGGGCGCCATCATCTCCGACCTCATCAGCAGCAACCAGCTCGACATGGCCGTGTTCGACGAGTATCACTGCCTCTTCGACACAATGATCCGTAGGTGGCGGCTTGCGTTCTACGCCATCCTGCACCGCCTCGCGCGCGTCCCCCGCTGGGTCGTCCTCACGGCGACGCTGCCGCCGTCGCTGGAGCATCTCGTCGTCAACACTTTCAGGAGCGCGAGGGCGGGGGTTTACGAGCGGGTGGAGGACATGCTGGACGCCGTCCTGAGTAGTGACAGGCTGTTGCCGTACGATGACGGGCGCGGGGACCCCGGGCTGCCGGACATCGTTTTCCGCCGTCCTACGGAGCGGCTCGATCTGACGTACCGCGTCGTGCGGTACCGCAAGGAGCAACTCTTGCCGCGGCTGGAGGAGGCAATCGGCGAGCCGCACGACATCCACACCAGGCACCTGAGGCGGCCACGCAAGATGCTGATTGTGCTGGCCCTTGACGTGCATGAGTCGAAGAAGGTCGCGGAGCACTTTGGCGAGCCCCTCATCTGCGCCTCCCACAACTACGACAAGGATCCCGAGGGGCGGAAGCGTGCGGACGACGCCCTCGCCAGGTGGAGATCTGCACCGAACGCCTGGACGCCGGTCGGGCCGGGCGAGCCTCCGATGACCGACGCGACGAAGTGCGTTGTGCTCTTCGCGACGAGTATCATGGGCACCGGCGTGGACACCGACGCCAACGTCGCCGTGATGGTCGGGTCCCTCGGGATGTGCGACATCGTCCAGGCGCTGGGACGCGCCAACAGGATTGGGAAGAGGGGCACGGCCGTGTATTTCGCACCCCAGGGAGACGGCACCGACGACGGTCCCGAGCTCTTCCCGGCGTCGGGCGGTTCGGGGGAGAGGGAGTGGTACGGTAAGGCGAGGCTTCCCGGAGATTTCGCCGTCGGCAGCCGGGTTGCGAGGGATGATTTCGTTCGGACGACAAGGTGCCGCCGCGTCGCTCTCGCTCGCTACTTCGACAAACACGTCCGCCGTACGGAGTGCTCCCGCGACGCGGACGAGGCGTTGTGTGACTTGTGCGAGGAGCGTGCCGTGATTGCCGACGCGTATGACGGAGGGTGGGAGGATTCGGTGGTCGCCGGGGTCGGGGGAGGCTCGAGCATCGCGGATGATACTGCGGCCACCACCAGCTCGAGGTCGGACCGACAGCGCTCGGCGGCCTCAACGCGGCCTTCCACCACTCCGCCCATGTCGGACGATGGAAGGCATGGACTCTGGAAGAGCCCTCGCGCGACGATGACGCTTCGGAAACCCGCGGAACCGCACCGACGACACAAAACTGGCGGTGTACTGTGTCCGTCGAATACGAGAGATGATGTGGACGCGTATGTCACCGCAGGCGGGATTCGTGCTGGCGTTGTGAAGCGTGCGAGGCCATCTGGGCCCGACGGAAGATGGAATAAGAGACTCTGCCTAGGTGCTGCCAGGTCAGGCCTCGCCAAGGTTGGCGGGGGTGATGATGATGATGATGATGATGATGATGAGGATGATGATGATAATGAGGAGGAGGAGGAGGAGGAGGTCACTATTATAGACCTGGCTAAGGTGCCACCGGTGAAACATCGGGGGCGGATCTTGGAGCTGGACAGTACCAGGAGCTGGAGAGACACCCCACTCCCGCTCGGTCGGCCACAGGATCTGCGAAGAGCGAAGCAGACCGGCGCCAACGGCACCGTTCGCCGCATTCGGTATAATGGGCAAGACGACCAAGGGCCGCTGGCGGTAGCACCCGCTTCCGGTGATATCTTTGCGATGCTGAGGACGCATAGGGTGAAGATGGCCGAGCTGCTTGGGAGCGCGTGCGTCGTCTGCAAGGTGATGGACGGTCACGGTGATGTTGACCATGACTCCACTCAATGCCCCAAAACGCGGGAGATGAGATTTGGGAGCGTGGGCGCGACACCTGGGAGGGCTGATCAGCAAACGCTGGGTCGGATGATTGGAGACACCGGCAGGATGGCGAAGAGCAAAGACGTCAAGGCCCCCATCGGTTGCTGCTGGGCTTGCTTCCGTGTACAGCCCAAGGACAAATACAACACGGAGGCATTTGGGTGCAGGGGTAAGAAAGGCGTGGTGCAGTGGCCGTGCGACGAGAGGGGCGAGAATGTGCAAGGTTTCGATGCTGTGATCGGGAAAGGTCTCTCCCGCCTTCTCGTGGCGTGGGTCGCCTTGCTTGTCACTAGGCCATGGTCGGCGTCCCAGGAGGCGCTCCGTCGGCTGGACGCAACGGACGACATCATTGGAAAGCTGAGAAGGAACAATTGGTGGATTAACAGAGACGTCGGGCAGTGGGCTGTTGAGAGCGTTGCGACGGGCTGGTCGTCCAATCGGAAGCAAGAGGTCAGGACGTGGATGTCTCGTGAGATGGGATTTTACCCCAGCGACTGGAAGGATGCTTTCGGGCTCACTAGGATGGGCTTATTCGTTAGCGAACTTCTGTGACCTGTCCTGGTTTGGAGCTGCTAAGGGGAGCGGGGCGGGGAAGAGTAGGCTAGGTCTTTGTGTGTGTGCGAAAGGTGGCGGGTTTTGCGGTGTGCGGTTGGAGATTCTGTTCAGTGTTGTTTCTCAGGTTAGTCAACAGCACTGTGTTGGTCATAGGCGTTAACTCTGGCTTGGTATTCTGTATGTATCTGAAAAGTATGAATCTGCTCCCTCCTGATCGCTCAAGGTTCCGTAGCCCCGTCCCCACGGCTAGACTAACGAAAACCTAACTATGGCGAAGCCGTGGTGACGACGATTGAGCTGCAACTTGTCAGCCACTGGCTGCAGTTACTAGTGCGGAAAAGCTCGCGGAAGAAGGACTCGGGGTGGTTGAACAGGCTAAACAGCCGTTTGCGCATCGCCTCGAGCTCTTGGGGGCTCTTGATTTTCTGACGATCGAACATGCTATCTCTCGCGGCTTTCTTCGCGTCAAAATCGCACAGGCCGATGATGACGAGGGTGTGATGGTTGAGACCCGGACTACCTGCGAGGGAGAGTGAGTATGATGCTTGTAACTGCCTGATAGGTTGTGAAGGCTCATACTGCATGAGTTTGGTGCGCGAATCGCGGGAAAGACAGTTAAGCGTGTGACGGTACGGGAGTCGGGCGACGCGGGGTGCGCGGGGTGTGCGTGAAGAAGTGGGGGATGGTTAGGAAAATACCGCTTCACTCACCAACCTGTCGGAAGAGCTCCTGTCTGCGGAGGATGGAGCCGTTTTCCTCGGCTTCGCGGAAGTCTGTATCTTTGATGAACCAGAGGGCCCTGACGATGAGCGCCGCTGCGCGGACGGACCCGAGAGTGGGCCCCTTCACTGAGATCTCGAACGCATTCTTGCCGGGTGAGGCATACGGAGTGCCACTGCAGCTGCCGAAGACGAGGGCGATGACGAGAAGCAGGTCGACGAAGGGTTCCCGCCGCCGTATACTTCTATTGAGAAGCTCCTTGGCGAACATGTAGTGTGCTGCGATGGCCGGCTTCGAGGTGGACTGGAGGTTCCGGTTCTGCAGGTGCTCGAACCCTTTCGAGACGAGATCCGGCATGGATATGAAGGGTAGGTGGTCGGCGAGGCTGACGCGGCGACGGTCGCCGGCAAGGACCGTGTCGATCCAGGCTGTCGCCGCCGGCTGGGTCGACAGGCCGGGGAGGCTGGTGGCGGCGGTGGTGATGGGCATGGTGACGGGAGGCCGCGCGAATGGCTCACGGCCTAGCCAACGGGTGACAACGCCCAAGACGTCGCTCCACGGACCGTGGGCAGCGAACCGCGTGGCGTAGGCGGCGGAGCCGAGGGAGTGCGTGTCATGCAACGACAGGCGGAGGTGGGATTCGCTTTTCCAAAGCTCTAGCCTGGGCTGGACCGCCCTCCAGACGTCGTTCTGCACCTCTATCGACAGCACCTCTGCGAGCCCGGTGAGCGGGTCGGATGGGTGTGCTCGGAGCAGGGCATGGAAGTGGTTCAGCGGGACGGTGTCCGAAAGGCTGCTGAGACGCATGCCTCTGCTGCAAACGGAACAGAAGTCCTCTCGAACGCGAGCGAGGTCTAGTCCGAGACGGTGGCACAGGGCTGTCACCGGCGCGGGGCATGACAATGGATTCTGGGTGCCGCGGTGGAGAATGCGCCTGAGCGTTGGGATAAGAGCGGACCGGTAGGGCGGTTTGGTGTTCTCGCTACGGACGGGGTCAGGTTCGTTTCCCGCGACCCATAAACTGACGTGGTGCATCACCGTGGCCAGCACCTCGGCATCAGACCTCCGGATTGCCAACCGCGCCGTGATGTCAAAGAGTGGGAGCGGGGTGTGGGAGGCGAACAAGTCGCGCAGACGGTCGAGGGAGTCCTCGGTGGGGTAACGGGTGAGGAACTGTACCCTTTTCGAAGGGACTGGATCCCCCGTTACAGGGTCCTGATGGAACAGGGCCCGGACGGCGCCTGCTGGGTCGCCCTGCGGTGTTACAGGTCCTGTTATCGTGGCTGTTCTGATGCGGTTCCAATCGTCCGCTGAAGGGTCGAAAGGGGTCCGGGCTTCGTCGCTGACCAGGTCCAGGACGTGAAGGACATCGTCGATCCATTGAAGCCAGAACTGGCGCGCGGGTTGCATTGTCAGTTAGCTGTTTCGGTAGGACTCGTACTATTAGGAGGAGTTGGGGAGTGCTGCGTGGCGCGGTGAGAGGACGGATTTGCTGCCTGGGGTCCTGGTTTCTATTCCGCATGTGCCTAGGCGGCTGCGACCGGGGGCCGACGGGCACGCGGCGAGCCAGTTCGAGACGGTTCATGAAGGTAAAAACCAAAAGAGACCGAGAGAGAGACAGAGAGAGAGAGAGAGAGAGAGAGAGAGAGAGAGAGAGAGAGAGAGAGAGAGAGAGAGAGAGAGAGAGAGAGAGAGAGAAGACAAGGGACGGGTGAGGTTCAGGGGTTGGGGTGTGACTCACGTCTTGTATCCTGCTTCTCATCATCCAATCCCACCTAGATATGTTGAATGTTCTGTCGCTGATTCTACGGTCACACCAACGGATGATAATGGGCCGCCACGTATTGTTCTTCCAGAGCGTCACTAGGCGGCGGGTCGGTATGCTCTTTCTTTTCCCCGCCAAGCCCAGAGCCCGGCAAACGATAGCCTCTAACCCGGAGATACCATCGGACCCGGTGGACGCGACTGTCAGTCGCTCCCACATAGATTCGGCAACCGCTGACGACGTGTTTATTGGCGACAGGAGGTCTCGAAGGTTACGCCACGTGTCGCGGTGGTTCTCGACAGAGTTGACGCACTGGTCCGCATTGCTTCGGAGCTCGACGAGTACTTGCTCAGGCAAGGCGTCAGCATCATACAGTTCGCAGATCCACCAGGCCTCCTGGAAATCGACGTCAGCGCCGCCTTTTGCGCTCATGTAGGTCTTGAAGGCAGCCGCCCGATGCTGGCCCGCTATCACGTCCAAGGGACGCCCGTTGACGGCAGACCAATCGCAGAATGGGAGGATGATGTGCCGCGGCGGCGGGTCCTCGGCGTCAACGCCCAGGTGGGACATCATGGCATCCAGCTGCTCTCGTGAGACCAGGGCCTTCATGAAGTTGACTGGATCTTCGCGCTGGACGCCTACGTGCCGGAACTTTTCGACGAGATGGTCTACCTGCCTCGGAATGATCTCGCGGCTGTCGGTGTATCGTGTCCAGCAGAATTTCATGTCCGACAGCCTGACTTTGGCCAGCTGGAGGAAATACGGCTCTGCGGCACGCGTGCGCACGAAGTGGCTCTTGCTGGTGTCGATGCGGGTCATGTCGTTGTGGGCATGGGATGCGGTTGGGGCCGGGAGGGAGGTGGTCTTGGAACTGATGCGTCGCTTCGCCGCCGACGGTGCGGGATTGATGTCGGCCTGGGAGGACCGCCTCTTCCTCGACGCCCGGTTGGCGACGGCGACGACGCTGCCGCCGCGGTGGATCCTAGGGCTCGTTGACGAGGACAGGATTGCATCTCCGTTGCCATCGGCGGAAGGCATGACGCGGCCGGACGATGAGCTACGTGAGCAGAGACTGAAGGCGGGGGTTTTCGATAGGTCTGGAAATGCGCTTAGCAGAGGTACACATAACTATCATGCATTGAATTCTTCTTTGTGCCACCATGTGAGGTGGGTGGGTGAGTACTGCACGCGTTGGTTGCGCCCCCGAGAACTTACGTGAGAGGAAGGTAGGCCGGTCTGTAGAGAGTGTGATATGGTAATGAGACTACCACTCACTGATAAAAAGCGTCATTTGTGTGTTGGCTCTTGGTGTTGACGGCAGCAGATGGGCAGAGCAGTTGTGGCTGAGAATGGTGATAGCCGACGGCAGCTGGTTCCTGGAAACGCTATGTGACTGTGAAAATTGGGATGGTAGGGTTGCGGAGGCGTCAGGAGGCCGGTCTGTGAGGGTATACCCAGAAAGTGTGGCGTATAAACGGTCGCTCGGGCATGGCCTGCTGCGATATGGGGAGAAGTGGCCTCGTGGGACACGGGATGAGATGGTTAATTAACTGCCGACGTGGGTCGGCACGACGGATGGACGCGGTGCTGAACGGACTGTTGTAATAGGAAGCCTGGTAGGTACATCTGGATCCTAACTGATGAGGTTCCAACAGTGTGGGCGGCGTGATGGGCTATTAGCTCTGTCTGCGTGCTGCGGAATCAGTCGGCAACCTCCTTCAGATGTCGCAACCAATGAGATAGCGGTTGTAAAGTTCGGGTCATAGACGTCGTGAAAGATGGGGACTATCCGCAGGCGCAGTAGTCACCTTTGTCGCGGATAGAATGAGGCAAGTGCTGCAGATGAGGCATCTGGAGGCCAGCTTCTGAGTCGATGTGGGAATGACCATTTATAGAGGAAGTACCGCGGATCAACGAGATGAGATAACGCAGGTGCGGTGAAAGGGGTGCATCGGAGGTTATAAAGTGATGAGTAAGCGGATAGGTGAAACGTTAATCCTCTGCGCGCGATTGGCTGGATTCCATGGATGCATGTGTTTATCGCTGAGGTCAGCGTGCAGGCCAACTAACCAGCATGAACAGCCATATCTAGCAAGAAGGGCGCAGAGAGTTATGTTTGCAGTACTCGGAGAGGCACGCCGGGAAAAATTGCACGATTTCCTACCCTAGGAATTGGCCCGAAATTTCCCTGCTGAGGACAAGCTTCGGCGATGTAATACGTAAGAGAAGCTCTGGAATGATTAGCTAGGTGAAGAATAACTAGCTAGGTGTCATGTGCAGAGCCTCCGCTCAGTAGCATGGCTAGAAGGTGGCCAAAATAGCATTCATTCAAGCAGAAGCCAAAGCGTTTGCGGTCTGTGGACTCCCAGCCACCACACGACTTCATGTCGAACAGTGGGACTTCGCTAAGTGAAGGCTTCGAAGTAAAACGCACGTGTTATAGGCACCACGGTCGAGAAGGTATTCGTGGAAGCCCGCCTGAGTGTGGAAAAGCTCGAACGGTGCTGTGCGCCTCTAAGATGCGGCTACACCGTCTTCCCGGTGGTGTAGAGGGTCTTCGCGATGTCTGAGTAGGGCCTTGTTGATGTGAGTCAATTCCTGCTCCGCCTAATACTGAGGTAGAGACGGTAGAACAAGTAACGGCAATATGGACATTAGGAGTCCTGACAACGGAAACGACGACGATGACGACGACGACGACGACGACGACGACGACGACGGGGAGGTGGAGTGTGTTGCCACGGAAGAAGTAGCCTCTTCGGCGCAAGAAACGTAGGCGGAATCTTGTTCGTTTAATGATTTGGGGTCGGAAGAGTCCTCTAACTGCTGTTTAGGGGCCTTGCGGGGGGTTTTCGGAGGTCATTGTGAGTAGTAGGTTCTGGTGATGGTGAAGCAGAGACTTATGGAATAATTCCTGTGAGGAAATGGAAAAGGGGTAGCGAGATTGAGTGTGCCTTCTTTTGTAGTTTGGCGTTGGCGTGATCAACGTGCTTCCTTGGCGGCTACGAACGACATTGTTCATCATCGTGTAACAAAGGTCTCGGATGAACTCTTGTAGTATTCGCCGGGGCCTCGTCCCCGAGTAGCGCGAGGAGGGGAGTGATGATGCCCGCTAAAACGATAGCCGCATGCGTCCACTGCCGTGAAACGAGGGTGCTTGCCGACGCAGGGTAGAAGGAAAAGAAGAAAAACAAGGAAGAAAAAAACAAACTCAGGGCGGCCGTGACGTTTATGGCACAAAGAGAGGGGCAGGAGCAAATTACATATAGCTCGATAAACAACTGTTCCATCCACACCGACAAACACCACAGACATCTCGTTCCTTCCCCCATTGATCTCAGTCCCTCGCCCTGGCTAGCATTGGCGCCTGTGGTGTTTTTGATACACATGGGAACGTAAGATCGGCGTTACCCGGGACGGTCGCTTGCCTTCCATCCCTCCTATCACCCTGCTATCAGTTTCCCTTGTTGTTGGTTTCGGAGGACCCGGATCTCATCGACGTCGGCTGCTGAACGAAGTCGCTCATCGATGAGCGACCGATGTTGACACCGTTCTGTCCGTCAGACGATTTCGGGTCTGAACCCAACAGAATCTTCCGGCACAACCGTGAGGTGAGAAAGACTTTTCACAATCCACAGTTTCATTTGGGTTGAGCACTGGCTTCGCTGTTGCCAGGATCGTAATTCACATCTGCACATCTCTAATCTGGCACCCATCACTGACACTGCCGGCGCACTAGCCCGAGACATCACGACAGAATCCCCTACTCGAGCTCCCAGCCTAGACGCCCGCCACTTCCCCCAAGAGCAGGCTGATGCTCAACGGCACGCAAGGTGGTCAAGAAGGCATCCCAACAGACTGGAGCTAAAATCTATTGCGGCCTGTAGACCGCCTTCGAACGAAACGTGCCCTTTGTGCTACCTCTCGGCAATGCCAAGTATATTCTTCCGCGATACCATGTTCGTTTCTAAGCTGTCTTCATACTCGCTTACAACTTGCCCTCTGGCGTTTTCGTTCTCTTTTAACGTATTCATGTAGTGCCACTTGTCAACGGCAGTGGGCCATGGTATGCAAGTTATCGTTGTGCTTGGGGTCCCTGCACACCAGGGTCCGCAAAGGTTTGGCGGGGTAGAAAACAGTACAAGGCACACGGACGTTTTAAGGGGTTGATGATATTCAATGGTTTCTGGGAGCAGCTGCGACCAAACGCGTGCTGGACTGCGCTGGGCTGAAGGAGAATGTGTAGGAGGGGCGATGGTCCCTGCAATGTGTCTTGGGATAACTGGAATGGTGTGACCATCGTGGGAGCAGATGTTTGTTCATTGATCAAAGTGATGGATGTTTGCGGACCTTTGTTTGCTTCTTTGAGAGGGATAGCAGGGCTTTGTTACAAGGACTAACAAGCGCAGTTCGTGCGTAGAAGCGATTGAGCGCTCCGCTCCATCCCTCCTAGCTCTTTCCTGCCGCTTGCCCAATGCCACCACGAAAGGCGCCTGGTTTCCCCCGTGCTAAACCTACACAACCTTTCCTCCTTCACAACAACCAACTTGGACGAACTACCTTGGTCAGGTTCGTCGACACCTGCGTTTCCTTCATTTCTTGACACCATTTCCCATCCATAAGTGAGCTCGCCAACCTGCACATATCCTATCTTTTTTTTAGTTTCAGATACTGACCTAGGTGATGACAAGGGCCACGGAATACTCATGATGACGAACGAGCGCGAGAGGGTTATCGTCGAAGGCCGGAAGGTTTCTATACTCGACTCTGTCCTCCTCGGATGGACTTTGAAGTCCGCAGCAAGCTCGGCCGATCCCGACACCAAAGGATACACGAGGACCAACATATGAGACATGATCAAGAAAGCCTGGGAGCCCCGCGCACAGAAGAAGAGGGAAGAGAAGCATGTGCCCTTGCTGCATATCGCAAGGGACGTGGACGATCTCAACAAGTTGATGGCCATGGTTTTCGACGACGAGGAGGTGTTCGCCCATCTGCGGAACAAAGTTTTCGTCTACACCCACCAGCAGTCCCAGCTCGACAACAAGATCCCGAATGAGAGAGTGGCCTTGATCGGCGAGGAGCTCCAGCATATTGGAAAGTGGCTGCAGAAGTGCGAGGATTCTATCTCTGATGTGAGTTTTCTAGCTCGCTAGCATAGGTGGTCCGCTGCTAACTGTTGTATCGTCAGGAAGCCAACCTTATCCTCGTCACCACGGCTGAAGATGTCGATGACAAGACGTACTATGGGGAGTGGGGGCCCTACGAGGCCTCCTTGCGGACGCAGCTTAAGACTGCGAGGACTTCATCGCTCCCGGCACCCGCCGCCGCATACCCGTCGGCTGACCAGCTGCAACACTCCAAGGCTCAGAAGGCTTTCAAGGGTTCTCGTAAGAGAGGAATTGACGATGGAGACCTGGATGGTATTGACGTGGGCTATGATGCAGAGATTTGACGCTGAGCGAGGGCCGTCCCGTTACAAACCACTATCCTTGTTCCTTTTCATTCGTAGAGCATCAATTCAACTTTTGCTTCTCCTCAGCCTTAAACAGAACCTCTATTGCGCGTTATGGACTAACTCGTTCTGAACTGCGTTGGGTCTGATGCCTGCATACATCGAGGCACTGGGCAGGTCGAGGTGTCACTCTTGGTGAGTAGGAGGGCATGACGACGAAAGTAGATCTGCCCATCCACTACCTGACGATGTGAAATAGTCTAGTGTGATAGATGCGGATAGGCCTTGTGCGGCAGCGCGATGACTTGAGCTGAGAGCACTTCCGGGTCTGCTCTCTTTCGGTTGACGAGCAGCTTTCTGGTTTGCATCTATCGTCCGCAGCGACGTCCTCGAGTGTATCCACGGACAAGGGGATGGAGAAGGGTTCCGTGGCTTCGGGCTGTGGCAGGTGCCTGGGATACTGCGTAACTCTTTGTTGTGGCGGGCTAGGTGCATGGCGGCTAGCCCACCGGATGCGTAGGATGTCTGCGAGCCTTCTCGCATGTACGTGGAGGCCCGGATTATGGGAGGAGACAAGGAAGTCTGGGATGGGGATGAGAGAAGCGCTAGACCAGAGCGCTTGTTGAAGTCCAAGGACGGTGTACGTATCTCAGATGCAGGACTGCTTACGGGCGGTGACAGGGTGCGCGAGGGTGAGTGGGTTGCGTGTTGTTGTTGCTGCGGATGGCGTTGAGTTGTGCAGCCAATCTCCCACGCTTGACGTGCAGGTTCGTCGGCCAAGTTTGACGATCGTTGACTTGTTGGGAGGGGTGATAAGGATGCTCTGATGCAGGGTGAGGAGTCACCGGGACCGACGGCACGGGAGGACTGCGCTATCGCCCAGATTCCTGAAGCCCGGAGACACGTCAGTGACTCTTCAGGAAAGATTGCATGCAACACAGACGCACTTACGGAATCGTCAGCATCCAGGGCAAAGCTGCTGAAGGATGCTTCGGTTGTCGCATCGTCGTTGGAGGGCTGTCCGCGCTTGGGGGGTTTTTCTGGTCCGGCCTCGCGAGGAGCATGGACCCCGTCGGGAGTGTGAACCGGAGCGGGCTGGGACGTGGCTGCCGCGCAAGGCGACGGTGTGCGGAGAAGGTAGCCGGCTTCGCGCCTATTGTCTATGGGCTCTGCAGCGAGTAGATAGGGAGAGGGTGCGGGAGGGGTCTCTGGACACGGCGGTTCGTCCCCTGTCACGCGGCGGACTGCAAGGTTCGGAGGGCTGGAGGGTATGTTCGGGGATGGAGCCGGAGGCCGGCTATGCGGTGTAGCTTCAGCCGAGAGATCAGAAGCACAGGTCTTGCGTCTCCGTTTGACGCGCCGCGCGGGGGACGGGCTACTAGAGGGGGACCAGCTGAGGACGCGCTTCCTTACCCGAGCCTGGCGTGCTGCTGGGGCCGGTGTCTTGTGCGTGCCCACGGGCTCGGTTTCACTGGAACAGCGGTCCGGCGACGACGGGATAACGATTGGGCTGGACCGCCTCCCATTGTGTTTTCGGGCAGCGCGTGCCGGACGAGTGGCGGAGAGAGGGATGTCCGAGTCCGAGTCTGACAGGTTCATAGGTATCCGACGACGGCGATGCGGAGCTGCTTGCTGCGGCTGAGGACGGGAAGCCACTGGGAGTGCTGGACCTAGCTGATTGGAGACGCGCCGCTGCGGATGCCTGGACGGCAGAGGTGCACTCCCTGCATTTGACAGGTTTGTGAATGCCCTCATTGCTTCCGCCTCGTTCTGATGCTTCTTTGAGGTGGCCGCGGCGGCTTGTTTCTTTTGTTGATTGTTTCTTTCGGCAAATTCCTGTTTCCTGAATTCGTACTCTTCGTCGGATCTGGCGAGGATCTTCCGGTTCCAGTCGGTCCCGTAGTGGAAGTTGTCACTAACTTGCCGGGATGTTAACACGGTTGGGTATAATAGGTTGTTGCTTGTGTTGAGGCTGAGTTGGGGATGACTAGTTCCCTGGCGTATGGCACCCGGCTCGGTTTGGGCCACTAAGTATCTCTGTCGCCGGAGATGAGGGTTGAGATGATGCCTTAATTGGAGTGAGGGAATGGGGGGACGACGGCGGCTCCGGGTGGGGGTCGCGGCTTCCTTGGGTGGCATGGGATGATTCTCAGACGCAGACTTCTGGCTTCATCTTAGCATGTCTGTAGACGAGATCGACACTTTCTAAGTCATGACCCTCACCTTCACCGGCGTAGATGAGTACTACATTCAGACGCCGTAGTTTCTCCTGTCGAAACAGGAGTGGAGGGTGTGTATTCAGGATGGACTTGGGGACACGGTATTCGAGGAAGGGTAGGATGTACGCTGAGATCTGCTGCGATAGACGCGGCTTAAGGATGACACAGCAGTTGCTCGGTGTGTTATGAAGTTGGTGATAATGGGAGTGAGCAAGAACGGACGGCGAACGCCCACAGGATAGTTAGTGGTTTCAAAAGAATGAATAGGAGGTAGAGTAGCGAAATTCATACAAAATATATGAGGAGAAAGGAGGGCACCAGGGGACTCTAAGACGAAGGTACGGAGACTAGAGAGGTAAGAATGCAGTTAGAGGACGGCGGCGTTCCCAGACTGAAATATGCGAGCGTTATATGTTTAGCCCGGGTGGAATAAGTAAGCTGGAAGTAGTCATAAGGCTTGTAATGGTTCTGAGCATGATTCACGTATCTTTCACTGCGATTCTGCGTAGCTATGAGACTGTGGTTGGGAGTGCAGTCGTCGTACAAGTGAGGGGATCGAATTCTACCGATTTCATTGGCTACGAAAACGGTTCGAATGGTATCGCTATCCACAACACCTAGACGGGGTCTCCGCCTGTTGAGGCGTCGGCCGATTCGGGAATAGAACGATTTTGGGACTTGCTTGAGTAAGTGGGGGTTTAAAACGGTAAGTAACAAATGAAAATGGTTGGAATTAATAGCCACTAGTGATCCCTAAGAACTTAGCTAGAGGAGGAGCCAAAGCAACAACTGTGAACCATGCATTTGGGGCCAATGATTTCGGTTAGATCTGCTGTGAGCCAAAGCAATGACTGTGGACCATTTTGGGCCAATGATTTCGGTTACATCTGCTGTGAGGCAAAGCAATGACTGTGGACCATTTTGGGCCAATGATTTCGGTTACATCTGCTGTGAGATAAAAGCAATGACTGTGGACCATTTTGGGCCAATGATTTCGGTTACATCTGCTGTGAGATAAAAGCAA